CGTTACCAACAGCAGAGGAAAGAGTGGATCGATGCCGCTACATGACAATCGAGGGCGGGGGCGGGGGAGGGGAGTATCTATCGATACAACCATCAGAGCTTGCGAACACGGTTGTTTGTTTCGTTTACGCTTACACCGTGCATACCGTAACCGTACTTATATCGTTACAGTTGGTTGCTTTCGGCGTGTCCTCGTCAAGTTGCAGCCGTTTGCGACCGCTGTAAAAGTACAAACAATTCCGAAACAATTTCTTCGAGGCCGTTCCGACGCCTACGCACGCGTTGGACAATCGCGTTCGAACTCTTTTCTCTTCTCGACTAACGACCTAACGACCTCGAATAGGACAATTTCGACTATACTCGTGTACATGTATAAACTAACGATCACAAACGATTTCGGATCACGGATCACGAACGAAAGGTTAACGGTGTATTCTATAAGGGTAAGGTTCTATGTCGTAAGTTTCAAGCGAACGTTGCTTCGGGAAACTTCTAGAAGGAACGCTTCGTATCGATTCGTGTTGTACGTATGGTGTTGAAGGATCGAGCACAAGACGACAGACGTCCGTCGCGTCTTGTGACGTTGACGTCGGCGACGACTGCGCGACCACCGGAGAAGAGCATCATCTTCGTAGGAAAGATTGGTTTCTTCTCCAAGCGTTGCATCGTCTTAGGCAGCGTTTCCAGGGAAGGTAAGCTGGTTTACTCCATGGTGTCGTACTTGACTTTCTTCACCTTGAAGTAGCGATAGGCCGCGTAGCCGGTGATGGTGAGGAGAACGGCAGCAGCCAACGTGGAACCAACCGCCACGGGCGCTGTTTCATCTCGAAATCCGCGCGCGCTCAACGACGTACACGAGAACTCGGTGGCAAACTCGTTGTTCTTGAATTTGAACGGCTGCAGTTTCATGTCTCTGAAATTTTTAGCACATTCGTTTCGTTTATTCGCTATTCGCCGTTGTTATTTATTTACATGATTACGGCGTCGCGAGCCAGGACTGTAATTAGTCTGTCAAGCTGCGACAAATGGGCAAAAGTGTAAAACATCAGCGTGAACAACGACGCGAAGAAAATGATGTATCATACGTACGCATGCTTTGAATTTAAATACGTCTCTGCAAACTAACTGCAAACTAGCAATTGCTGTCCGCTTACTATAAATTTATCCACACGATTCGTTGTATTATACTCTATACGGGATACACGCAACTATATCAATCGTTTTTACACACTTGTATTACATGTAAACATTTAAGTAAAAAAGCAACAACGAGGGAAGAAGCGAAAGTTCTGCGATATTCAATAACAAGTCAAAGAATCGTTGCATCGCTTTTATATCTGATATCCCATTGTAAATAAATAAAGTTATACCATTTAGCAAAGCTTTAGTTTTCGAAATTGCAGGAAAAATAGACAAAAAAAAGAACAAAGGAAGAATGCACCACTTTCGCATCGAATGATCTATATATATAAAATATAGAGACATTTATAGTAATATTCACGTTCACATTGGATATTCACACATCAGTTTACATACCTGAGAAGCACGACAGCGTGATTTTTCCCATCGGTCAAGGGAACTTCCGTCTCTTCGTTGCAGGCGTACGACTTTCCAACCGGTGTCGGGAACAACATGGGACTGTGCTTTTGTCCAGTGCTCAACCTGATTGTTTTATCTGGAAACAGAAATAACTCGAGATTACCTCGTTGGTCAAACGAGTGCGATCTCGTGCGACTACGTTTCAAATCGAACTTACTCGGTTGATCGATATTCACAAAATGTCGGTCGCTAGAATTATACGTTAGTTCGATCTTCTCCACGTACCATCGTTCACCACCAGGTGTCTGGAAAAGAAAAGAAAAGAAATGGATTTTTTCTTTCATTAATTCGACGTCATCTTTGAATTCATACTACAATCAAAATCATCTCCACGATGATTTATCAAAGTTAACGATGAATTTTTTGGACGATGTAATGGCATTAACGGGGAAGATGATCGTATTAATTTAAGTAAAAAAAGGTAGTGGAACAGTAAAAAAAAAAAAAAGAGAAAGAAGAATACTGGTCGAGTATCG